ATCTCGAATATTTCTTATTTATGTTTTTAGCATCGATCACTGATTCACTAGCATTCTACAGAGATAGATCGCGAAATTGCGCGCTATTATCACAGATTATTAATTCTACATATAGTTTTTAATTAATGTTATTTTTTTGTTTCAACAATATGTGAGAACTTTATTTAGGGAATGTTTTGAAACAGATAGTTGTATCGCCACATGTTAAGATTATTTATACAATATAAATATTTCAATGAGAAAAGGACGGCGGAAGAAAATTTCGTAATTATATAATATAACAGCAAATCTTTTGTACGTGATATTAATACGCGAATAACGAAAGCAATTCGATTACCTTTGTCGTTTATGATATCGCTGTTTTCAGTAAAAATGATCATTTTACCGTAAATCGCGTAAAATGTTCAGTAAAGAAAAGAAGGAATTATTGTTTGAAAGATATTTTGAATCTTTGTGTGTGTGAAATAAATTATTATTCGAAGTTACATAAAATGGGCAAGTATCGATCGTTTGTCACGGCGACTTATCGTATTAAATAATTTATCAACTTCTTTTGTCTAATGTTGCATGAAACACGACATCGCGATACTAATCGCGATACCTTATCAGGTGGATATACTAATGTTCGAAGAATGCAAGGAAAGATTCCAGAGGGTGTAAAATAAAGGATCTCGATTTCGCAACTTGCGTTAGTTCGAAAAGGACGAACAAAAAGAGGGATGAAGGCCGAATGACGGTGGAGAAACTGGAGACACGCGCAAGTTTTACGCGAAAATGTTATATGGAGGATGTAATACGACCCTTTTCACGCCGTTTTCCGACAATTTTCACGTACCTACGAAGTCCTTATCATAACGTTGATACGACGCAGAATGTCGCTCGTAATTTTGAATAGTAACGACAACGATTGTGCTTTCGATGCGTAAATATTTCACGGTATCTCGTCCGTTCCGATAGCAGGTTACGAAACGAAAATAAATCGTGATTCTAATGTGTAATTTTTTTGATGAAGACACCGAACGTCATGGCAATGAATACAAAAATGCTGAAAGAGCGCGTTTTTCGAGAGAAACGAAGAGAGGAACTATTTAGCGCGTCTCGGATTCGCTGTAGATTCCGTTCTGCATGGAGAGACGCACCCACTCGCTCGCACCTGCTCAAGAGTTGCCACCCCGGTATCCCCCCCGGGCACCCCTTCGCGTCCAGCGAAACGAGGGGTGAATTGTAGGTGTACGTACGTACGTACATAAGTGCAACGGGTTGCACCTACACGCGGTACGCCTATACGCGTGCACTTGTACCTTACGCGTTTCCCTCCACTCGTGCGTGACAGAAGTGTCTGTACACATGAGGTGGATGGTAGGCTACTTGAAGGGTTTCCGTTTATATGCACGCGCGCGTAAGCGTGTGTGAGAACCAACGTAAGGGGCCTTCCGCAGGGAAGCGAGGTCGTCCTGCGATATAGCGTACGTATATATTATATATATATGGAGCGAAGGATAATGTATTAATTAAAAGAAATCTTACTTGCGAGAAATTTTCAAACCGTTATAAATATTTTCTAATTTATCTCAAGTGTAATATTTCACGTTTGATTCGTAATTCATCTCACGTGCTGTATCTCGCGTTTGACTCTATGATTCACTAGTCCATAATCGGAAGCCAATTGTAAAAGTATTACGATTTTTTTTTTTTTGAAAAGGTAAAGTATTTTCTCATACTCGCTACACGTCGATAAAAACGCCAAATGGTACCGCGATAATTTACAGCGGTTTTGCCTCGCATCTGGGGCCTCGGCGAGATTAAATCGAGATTCCGAGTCGATTCACGGCGTCCAGATGTCACGTTTCAGGAAGAGGAAGCCCACCTTTGATCCCTACCAAGTCGCAAGATGACGAGCGAAGCACAAATGATGGACCGCGCAAATGATGTGGACTTGTTTAAAAAAATGCTCCGAATACGTAAACCAGAGGAAAGCTGCTGTGTCACGTATTATATATAACACGTATTATATATACATATATATATATATATATATATATAAGTATGTATGTATGTATGCGCGCGTGTGTGTACGTGTCATTAATTCGGCGAGAGACTTAATTAATTCCGATTTCGACGTGCAAAACCATACGCATCTTGTATCAAATCACATGTCTGACCCATTTCCGCTTCCGTGCCATTTCCTGAGCGCGCAATCGGATAGGTCAAGTTTGTCGACGGCGGTCGGTCCTACAGCGATTGCGCCAACACAATTTGCAATTTCACGAAACCGCTAGATTAATTAGACGTTGTCGTCTCATTAATCGCTCGATACGATTGACTGTACAATTGAAAGTATCATCACATGAACGGAATCGAGACTTTTCTGCGCGTAAGGACTGCGTAAGGTCAGCGCTGACGGCACAGACTTTACCTATGATATTTTTTTTTTTTCCCCGAGCGAACTTACATAAAAAAAAAGCGACCTTGGGTACTCAGCAACAATTTTTTTAACGTGACGTAAGTTCATCGGTGGCGTTTAATGCACCGTGCACGCGCGAACGCTCTGCGTCATCGAATACCATGACATTATTTACTGAAAGCGAACTGCATAACAGGACGCATCCGAGCGATCGCGCTTCAATTGCGTTCGAGAAAATATTTCACTGGGCTCGCCCGAGTAGAAATTTTGCGAGCTCGGAAACAGCGACGCAGGCATTTTTTTTTTTTTTTTTTTTTTAAAGAGAGATATAGCGGCTTTGTTTCCGTTTCCGCGACGAGAGCAGAACAACGGCCGGAGGGGTCGAAACTTTTTTTTTTCTCTTCTCGAGATTCTTGCCACCCCCGACAGGGAGTTTTACAGTAATCTCTGTGCCAAAAGTCTATGGTGTTCCGTCTCGCTTCGAGCATCCGTGTTCCCCTTTCCTCTTTTTTTTCTCGCGTTACACCAAGCTGGTCGACCGGCAGCTTCGAGCGCCGCGCCGGGATAAAGTCACGAGCAGTAATTATGAACGATAGCAGGGGAGAGAGAGAGGATATAATTGTGATTGATGGAAGAGAAGGGAGGAGCAGGGGGTGACTTCCTTTTAATCTCGAAGCTAACCCTTTCGTCCATCTATTGCCGCTTCTGCCTGGCCGACATCGCGCGATGCGGCGCGGCGCGGCGCGGCGCGGCGCGATTTTATGCACTCCAATGTATCTTTGTGGAGAAAAACTGGGATATCTTGTGCATCTTGTTCCGCTCAAAGCCAGAACTGAAACTGTTATAGAGACTATATTTTGTGGTAACTTTATGGCACGCGGCTGAAAAATAATTAAATTTATATTTATGTCATTATGTTATCTTATAATTGTTATTCATGAAGAAGGAGATAAATCTTGAAATTAGTTCACCTCAATCTTACTTGAAACAGATCATCCGCACGTAGGAAGCGGAATATAGGCTGCACACAAAATGCCATTTAATCAATTATCCACCAACTTTCCAAATTTTTTATTAATTAATTCTATATCAGTTCTGTATCAATTTTACTAAAAATATAAATATGTTGAATAAAGCAAATGTGGGTATGACATTTCGTGCGCTATCCTGTAAAAATCTAGAGAGTAATGGTAAAACGATTGAACTGAGAATGTCTAACTATAACGTGTGTTTGATTAAAGACTAGGGAAATGAAAGACGTAGAAGGGAGCTGAATTAATAATCATCGTTGTTGTACACAGGCGAGAATAATAACAGTCCATATCTTAAACGAGACGCTCTAAATCGTCGTTTGTAAAATACGAAACGAAGAAAAGCCTGGCAAAGAAGCGAGGAAGCCCAGCGTGTCCGCTTCGTACGCGCATTATCCCCGATGCCTGCCTCTTCGCCTGCGTGCGTGCGTGCGTGCGTGCGTGCGTGCGTGCTGCATGCGTTCGTGCATGCATGCGCACATGCTGCGCTCGCGCGTGTGTACGTGCGTGCGTATTCTCCTCTCCTTTCACCGTCGCGTCTCTACGCACTCGACTCCGTAGTCCACGCACCGCCGAGCGAGCGGGAGTCTGCGATCAATGCGTGGCACTGCCACTGGTCGTCATGGCAACGTAGCGCGCCACGCACAACGAGCGAACGATCCGCGTCGATCGTGCGTAAGTGCGTGCTCCGGGTGCGCGCGCGCGCGCGCACACGCACACGCACGCACACACACACGCGCGACACACGCGCGCATCATCTCACTTACACTCTCACGCATAGACGGCCTCCTGCGACGTGCCGCGGCGAAACTCGCGAAAGACCGCGTGTAGAGGACGATCGATGGTACTCGCAAACTTCACGACGGTACTAATATGAACACGTGAAACGTATACGTAATTTACGTGATGCGCGTTTGTTTTCAAATCTTTTATCAACCTTCGTTAATTGCAATTGTAATTTGGACGATAGAGTTGTTTTAAGAATACGTAATTATTTATATCGTCAAAGCTAGAAAATAGAATTTTTATTGCTAGCTTGTACGCAGCATCCCTTACGCAGACCATCTTCAATAATCTTTTTTTTTTTTTTTTAGAAAACAACGCTGAATTTTTCGTTATCAAACATAAAAACGAAAATTAGAACTTGATCCTGGGAGATATTGGAAGGCCTCGCACGCGGCGAAAGTTGCTCCGAAATTAGCCGTTAACGACATGGCTCTTTTTCTAGATTTTCTAGTCTACCGTGTCGACAGCTGTCCCAAATTTCCTGTTGAGCTTTTTGTCAACTTACTTGAGTATTTCTTTCTAATTTATATTGTTATGAAGCGTCTCGCAATGTGCAGATTACAATTATTTGCGCAACGCATTGAATCTTTCGATAGTTACGAATAGTTGAATGCGCTATGTAAATAAGCATTAATTTAACAGTAGTTAAATTTATTTACTTGCACTCTCTCTCTCTCTCTCTCTTCGCAGCATTATTGTTATCAAGAGTTGATTGATGGTATAGAATGTATGTGGACTTGAAA